TTATGAAACAGGAGGAAATCCAAACAGATGAGCAAGTCAACGCCGTGGACAGTCAAGCGAAACGACTCGACAAGCGGCATAAACAAAAGAAATACGCAAAATATGGAAAGAATGGAAAGGCTACAAAGGGCGCGAAGAAGAATTGCAGCAGATGCGGAGCAACAAAGCAACATAGGAAAGAAGAATGCAAAGCATATGGTCAAACCTGTCACCTGTGCTCGAAGCCGAATCATTTCGCATCTGTTTGTCGCTTTAAAAACAAGCCAGCAGGCGGAAAGACAGTATCCAGAGGACACAAAGGCGTGAAGCAAGTCACCAAAGAAACGGATACGTCCAATGACTCCGATGATGATTTGACCGATGATGAAGATCCACTCTTTAAAATTGAAGAAGTCTCCAGCGTGAAGACGGCAGGCAAGCAACTGAACGCCAAGATAATCTTTTCAGACACAGAAGAGTTATACAACACCGAATTGGAATGCCAGCTAGACACCGGCGCCACGTGCAACGTGATGAGACCCACCACTAAGAAGTAGTAAAGTGAAGCTCAAGTTGTTTGACGGTTCTCTCATGAAGCCTTCTGGTGTAGCCACCTTAAAGATACATCGAGACAATAAGACCCAAGAGTTGGACTTTCAGATTGTTGAGACTGTAAACAAGCCTCTTCTATCCGCGGAAACATGTGTGAAGCTGGGACTGTTGAAGCTTTCCTTAACAGGTACAGCGCAAGTAAACAGTATGGGTACAGAGCCAGTAAAGTCTAGTGTCCCACTAACCAGAGAGAAAATTCTAGCTGACTACAAAGATGTTTTCGAAGGACTTGGTCACATAGGAGAGTCCAGCACCTTTGTTATCGACCCAAACCATCCCCCAGTGCAGCACGCGCCCAGGCGGATACCTGTAACTCTACAAAAGGAAGTCAAGGAGAAGATCGCAGAGTTGGAGAAGAAAGGCATCATTCAAAAGGTTACCGACCCCACAGATTGGATCAGCAGTATGGTCATCGTGTCCAAGCCAGGAAAGATAAGAATTTGTCTCGACCCCCGAGATTTGAACAAGGCAATCCAGAGACCTAAGTACCAGATGCCAACATTAGAAGAGATACTCCCAAAACTCAGCAAAGCGAAAGTATTTACCACATTAGATGCGAAAGATGGGTTCTATCAGATCGGATTAGATGAAGAGAGCAGTAAGAAAAACAACTTTCTGGACTCCCTTTGGCAGATACAGATATCTAAGAATGCCATTTGGTATTAGCGTGGCTCCCGAGTGCAAGCTACACGAAAAGCTTACCGGATTAGAAAGCGTCGAAATTCTTCGAGATGATCTACTAGTAGTCGGATATGGAGATACCCAGGAAGAAGTTGATGCCAACCACGATGAAAACCTCAGAAAACTCCTAGACAGAGCCAGAGAAGTCAAACTCAAGCTGAACAGCAAGAAGATGAACTTGAGGAAACCCCAAGTTAAGTTCATGGGCCATGTTATTAGCAAAGATGGTCTCAAACCAGATCCAGACAAAGTCAACGCAGTGGAAAACATGCCCAAGCCAACATGTAAGAAAGAGACTCTTAGTCTACTGGGTTTCATCAACTATCTGGCCAAACTCTTACCAAGACTATCTGAAGTAGCACAGCCGTTGAGAAATCTGACCCTGACCAACGCCCAGTTTATGTGGTCTGAGCAACACGACAAGGCGTTCGATGAAGTGAAGAAGTTGGTAGCAAACCATCCAGTACTCAAGTATTACGACATCAATGACGAGGTTACTATTCAGTGCGATGCCAGCGAGCGAGGCCTTGGTGCGACACTCCTCCAGAACGGACAACCAGTTGCCTTCGCATCGCGAACACTGTCTGCAGTTGAACAACGGTACGTACAAATAGAGAAAAAACGTCTGGCCATTGTGTTCGGTTGCCAAAAGTTCTCACAGTACATCACAAGACGAGAGAAAGTCACCGTCGAATCAGATCATAAGCCGTTGCAGTCAATATTCAAGAAATCGCTTCTATGTGCGCCAAGCCGTCTCCAAAGAATGATGCTTCGGCTACAGAGATACAACCTCGAAGTGGTCTATAAACCAGGAACGCAGATGTTTGTGGCCGATCACCTGTCCAGAGCTTTCCTGAAAGATACAGGCCCAGAGGATGAAGAGTTTCAAGTTTTCGCTCTGGAGCTGAAAGCGATGAACCCGTTTGATACCATCAAGATAAGTAGTGAGAGACTGCCCCAGCTTAAAAAGGCCACTGAACAAGACCTGGTCATGCAAACTCTCAAAACTACCATTCTGATTGGTTGGCCAGAGAGGAGAGAAGAAGTACCAGTCCAGATTAGAGAATTTTGGAATTACAGAGAAGAACTAACACTTCACAACGGCATCATTTTCAAGAATCAGTGAGTCATCATTCCAAAAGCTTTAAGGCCAGAACAGACCGCAAGAGATCATTCCAGTCACCAAGGAATTGAAACCTGTCTACGAAGAGCAAAAGATGTAGTTTTCTGGCCCTCCATGACCAAAGACATCAAAGAAGCTGTTGAGAAATGTGAGATATGCGCAGCATTCCAAGCGAAGAACGTCAAGCAGCCAATGCAAACACATGAAATACCTGATCGTCCATGGAGCAGAGTTTCGTCAGACCTTTTCACTCTGAACGGTAAGGAGTACATTGTGCTTGCAGACAGCTACTCAGATTTCATAGAAGTTGGCGAGTTAAAAGGCACAACTGCGAGCTATATCATAGAGTTCCTCAAAGGTCAATTCAGTCGCCATGGCATACCTGATGTATTTGTTACCGACAATGGACCGCAGTACTGCTGCCGAGAGTTCACAGAGTTTTCCAGAGAATGGGAGTTTAAACACGTGACGTCATCACCTAAACATGCCAGATCCAATGGCAAGGCCGAATCCGCAGTCAAAGTGGCCAAGAAGATTTTCAAGAAAGCTCACAGGGACAACAAAGACCCATGGCTTGCGTTATTGGATCAACGGAACACACCAACACAAAGTGTGAACTCTAGCCATGTACAGAGATTGATGTCCCGAAGAACACGTACATTGTTACTGGTATCAGCAAATCTTCTGTACCCCAGAGTAGAAGAAGGAGTCAAAGAGAAGTTGAAGGCCAAGAGGCAGACAGCTAAAGGCTATTACGATAGAAGTGCCAAGGTGCTACCAGAGCTTGAAATAGGCCAAGAAGTTAGAGTAGCTGGTCAGCGAAACAAAGTCTGGGAAGCTGGCACCTGTGTCCGGAAGCTATCAGATCGCTCATACCTTGTTGAAGTCAATGGAAACACACTACGTCGAAACAGACAGGCATTGAGACCCAAGAAAGACACCCAAATGACTGATGAGACTACTATTGCTGAAACAAAACCACCCTCGTCTGTGCCTGCAGAGACAGAAGGACAAACAGCATTGAGGAGTACCAATCACAGTGATGTGACCACACCAGTTAAAGTCAGCGATACCCCGCAGCAGAATCTTAGTGTGCCACTGAAATCAACCCGTACCAGAATTGTGAAGGCACCTGTGAGATTCAAGGACTATGTCTGAGCGTCTAAACCAGTTATGGATACTGAACATGAGACACTGAACATTGAGACATTTTTTTTGCTGTTGTTTATTTGCTTTTATTTTTACTAGCATGAAACTGTTACATGTACAAGCAGATATTTTTTTTTTTTGTTAAGTGCATTTTGGACACTTGTCATGATTAGGTCATTATTGCTATTTTTGTTTTTAAAAAAAAAAAAAAAAAAAAAAAAAAAAAAGGGAAGATGTTTCACGATACGCGAACTTCCGGTGTTCGCCATAGTTTCCGGTTTGTATAAACTGTCAATCAAATAAACGTGGTTTAGTTTTCTCAAAATGGCGTGTTCACTGTGAAACACAAACAACCATGAGCGAAGACAATTCGATCGTGAGCCCAGCAGAAGACCTTTAAAAAAACTAGAAAAGTTCTCACGTAAAAACAAACAAATAAAGAAGTTAGTGTGCAGGCGAATTCTTAAAAACATTCCTGTCTCGTCAAAAATGTATCGCTACGTCAAATGCAGACTTAGAACAAGGAGCAATAATGACAGTATCAAGTTTGTACAAAAGATGAGAAAAAAATGGCATTCTACTCGGTCAACACTGAATCGAAAATCGTCGAGTTGTCGAGAGTCTTTGGGCAAATATCTATCTTTGTATAGCTGTAATACATTAATAAGTGTGTACAAGAATGCAAGCCACAGAGGCCATTGTGCTACACTGAATCTGTGTAATGACTTTGAAATAATCCTGGGCCTCCTATATATGGTATTGATCCTACTCTAACAATCAAGGCACCATATAGTCAAGGTGATATTGAGTACTTTGTTGAAAATGCTGGAAAACAACGTGTTGCTATGAGTTTGATTGCTTTGATTTATAACAAGATAAAAGGAATACATACTTGTGATGACCTGGTACAAATTTTGGAGATGGGTAATCAATTGTATTCAACACTGTCACAATGTACAGGGCAGGTGTATTTAATGCAAACTGAATTACTATCAATGATTGCTTTGTCTGAGGAAAACTGCCAGCTTAATTATGGTAAAAGCTACACTGGTAATCTACATCATTGTAATTCAATAATTGAGGGATATCATTACAGTATGTCTAGAGACAGGGCTTTTCAATCACTCTTATCACAAAATTACTCTTCATTTATTCTGACAATAGAATGTATCGATGTCAGTATCTATCATGCGGATAATGGGAGTTATAAGATATTTGACTCTCATGCAAGAGACGAATATGGTAGAAGCCATCCCTCGGGTACACGTGTACTATTAGAAGTACCATCTATTCAGGGCTTAGTGCAGTGTTTCCAGACTATACACTCCCTCAGTGACAATTATGAACTTAGAGGAGTGCAGATTAGTACATATGAAGTAACTAGAGTGAACAATTTGAGAGAAAAACACAACTGCTCTTTCAAACAATGTTCTGCTGTGGGGCTTTATGTAATGTGTTACTTATGAAGATACTTGTGAACCTGCAATACAACAAATAAACATAAGTGGTATACCACGATTAGTACAAGCTATTTTTAACATTGTTACAAAGAAACTTAAAACATGTATTATTCACTATGAAATGCAATTTTTGTTATGCACATCTAACATGGACCTTCATCAAATCAAACACATCATGGAAAAGCACAGACAAAAATGTAATGACAACGTGGAACCTGCTCCAAAAAAGAAATGACTGCAATAGATAAATTCTAAAAAAAATCAAATACAAAGTTAGACTACAGCATGGGAGTGAGATAGTCCCAACTATTGAGTTCTGCATTAAGGAATTCAAAGAGAAACTCAGAGGTCCTTATTATGTATGCTGTGTATACAATAGAATGCTGTATAAGAAATCAGTTAAAAACTTCTTAAATACTAAATACTCCAATCAACACTATTTTAGCATTCAGACTTCATTTGATGGTAAGGAGTATATTTGTAACACATGTAACTCAAAAGTTAAACAAGGTAAAGTTCCTTGTCAAGCTGACGTGATAAACAACATGTATGTTGATGATACACCAGTTGAGCTTGCCTCTCTTGAAAAACTAGAGTAGACACTAATAGCTCAGAGAATAGTATTTGAAAAGATTATTGTTATGCCCAAAGGTCATCAGAGGAAAGTAAAAGGTGCAATTTGTAATGTACCGGTTGAATGTGATCAGGCAAGTGGTTTTTTGCCACGCCCTCCTGAGAGATCTGGTATAATCCTGTTAAAACTCAGAAGAAAGTTTCAATTCAGAGGTCATGTATACTTTCAATACTTTCAAGCAGTAAGGCCTCACTTTGTCTTACAAGCCTTGCAATGGCTTAAGGCAAATAATACATTGTATAAAGAAATACAAATTGATGTTAATGATATTGATACAAATCTGACTGTACTACATGAGACAGATAATTCTATAACTGTAAATGAAGCAACAGGTTCTAAAAACAATTCAGTTACAGATGATTGTGTGGAATACACTGAAGATTCAATACCAGTAAACCAGGAAAAATCTTCATTCCAAAATCAAATTAATGACTTAAATGACTCAAACAATAATAATGAAAAAATTGAAGACACTTTAAATGAGCATAGAATGCCAATCAATCAAATATACTTGCGATCCATTATCCCTAACTATCTGTGATGGTAGATGATAATAATGAACAGTCATCAGGAAATTAAATTTATAGCATTGCACCAGGAGAGAACAAACATTCATTTTCCGCCAAATCCTGTTTAATGTCGTTTGTATAGCCTTCTCACGCGTTCAAATTAAAGTCGGTGCTTGACAGTACGGATTTTCCATAACTGTAAATGATGAAGCGCGACAGTTCGTCTAGACAAAGTTGAATATTTCACGCTTGAACAAACACCGAAAATTGACCCGTTCTGACTACACTTTATTAGAAAGGGACTGAGGTGCTCATCATAGCTTTTAGAGGTTAAAAAGGGCGGCTTTAGTACTTCTTGGGCTGTTCAGCCTCAAAAGGTCCACAGCAGCAGCCTCTGTGATACCTGTCAGGGTATTGAACCAAATATATGTGACAGTGTGTTGTTGTAGAATTGGTGCCTCTAAGGGGTGAGAAAAAATACGCCACGCCTACAAACCAGGACCACTGTATTTCTTTTAGAGCCACTGCGCACCGTGAATGGTCAACACTTGTAACAGCGCGTCTACCTGTAGCCCGACTTTCGATCTCAGATCGTCTTGTCTTAGACTAGAGGACTATCGGTCAACCCGAAATTTAAAAAATTATAATAGCCAAAGATCGGCAAATGGGTGATAGGGATAGTCGAGATCATCGTAGAAACGATGAATTTACAAGAAGATAAACTGTATACACCAGGTCAGCAGAAACACTGATTTGAATTCCAGGTCGGAGTTAGGGAAAATCACGAGATTTCCCAGCTTATATTCGAAATATTTTTGTGCCAATAGTCTACGTATATTACTATATATCCACAAAGTTAAGTAGGTTTACATCGATTGTGATCGGTGTCGGTGCGTTGGGTATGGACGGTGTTGATTTCAGGACCTTTTTGTTTAGCATAGGTCTCTTTCGCAGAATTTCCCACTTGCGTTGCTGAGAATTCCGCACACGCTGGTTCAGTAATCTTGGACTGTACACTTTCTCTTGATTCAGGCTTTACTGACGACAATTCGGCATTACACGTTTTGTTCTGCGATCTGTCTACCCTATTACAATCCAATCCTAGGGTTACAAAAATGTAACATATATTAACTAAGGAAATCCACATCCAGATACGTAATTCCGTGTAGGATTCAAGATTCACTCACGATCTACAACGATTCGTGGGCACTCATTTCCTATTAAACATAGCTTTACTTGACAATCATGCTGCTAAGTTCCTACGCGCTTAACCGCCCTGCAAATACCTAATTTCACACATCACTGCTCGCAGAACTAATTTGATTACCCTATGCCGCTCATGCTACTCCTAATGGTAACGTTAACTCTGTACTTCACGGTAACGAAATTACAACTCACTTAATACACAATTAAATTCATAATCAATCTAATAAATCTGCGTGGAAACATTTCACAACAGTCTCCAGTCTTTTGATCTTATCCTTTAAGCTGACACGCTCCTTGGAGGGTGGCATACTTCGGATACTTTCTGGTCTTTCTGGGCACGATTTGACGCACCACCATGACCAGGTGGTCGACAGAAATAACATTGAAGGTCATAGTCCTTGTGCAAATGTTAACTATATTAACTTATGTCCATTGTGTTACGATTGTTTGGAACTACCACGAAGATAAAAGAAATCAAAGGTCAAGCAAAGGTCAGCAAAGAACGGAAAAGACGAGAAAACATTGTAACGGCTGTCACGGGGGAGGATTTGTCGTATCATCAGTTTTGGCGATGGTTTAAATCTGCCGCTCGTATGATAATCGGAAATTTTGAAGACTCTATTTACTTTGAATGATTGATATCCTTCTCGATCAAAGAGCGTTCACTTACACATCAAGGAAATTTAATATGTAAGTCTAGTAAATCATGAGCCACGCGTTTGTAAAACAGCAAATCACGCATCACGTTGTGATGTCCGGTCCCGCGCCACGCGGATAATTTGGGTTCAATCACGCGTCACCCGGCAAATTTTGGGGCCATCACGAGTCACGCAAAAACCCCTTTGCTGCCCTCTTCTTGTAGAGTCCTTGTGTCCACCAGAGGAGAAAAAAGTACCATTTCATGCCTCCTTCATAATCTTTGGTGATTGTTCTCATAGCCTAGTCACCAGTGACAGGAAAAAGGATTGTATAGAGGATGGCAAGGAGTTAAAACCCCAGGTGTCATAGCTCCCAGGATTTTTGAGGCACCGGAGTCTACTCAACACGACAAAGTGGATGGTTTTGAACCACACTCCTTTATTTATAACGTCATTGAAAAATCCACAACACACACTGTACAATGATGACTTTGAAAAACCCGGATCAAGGTTATTGACGATATGACGTCAGTTTTTCTTTTAAAGTCTACATTCATATCAATATTCTTTCAAAATGATTTATTTGTATATTTTTAGCTATCTACAAAATTACATATAAAAATATAAAATATCCAGTTATATATTAAATATGGAGCTAACATCATTTGAGAGTCATAAGAAATATAAAGTGTTATAAATATTATCCAGGCCGCTTTAAGAAACATAACTCATGAAATTTGAATAAATAAAATATAAGTTGGGGTCGAGTTGAGCTTTTATGCAGTATAGACGATACCGTTATATTATCAACACCTTGTTCATGTCAGACCAAACCAAACTGATATATATTTCGAAAATATAAACTTCATGTTCGTGTATTTGCTGACTTGAGCCTCAACTGACATTTCTCTACAGTCTTCATATTTTGAGACAAACGTCGAGCATGTCAGTGTCAATCATATCGGTTTCTTCAAGATATAGATTTTGCATTATTTGTTTTTATTTGAACGACGGAGCTGATCATCTTACCTTCATATAGCTATGCCGAGCTTCACCACCACAGTAAGTACACGCCACTGCCCTGTTGGTACAATCTTGCTCCCTGTGCGCCGTGAGCTGTCTTCTCTCCACAGTTTCACCGCACGCTTGACATTTTACAAAACCGTACTGACAGCTATCTTCGTGTGCCTGTAAAAAATAAAGAGCGTGGAACTTAAAAAAACAGTTAATTGTAAATATGTTTTCCGCCTTGTAATGTGTTTTATTTTTTACTTCTTCTTGCTATTTCAGGCAGGTATTTATATTAGAAAGTGTTAGGAAGTCACGCCACTCATATTGTTTGAATTATAAGAGCTTGTCTGGGATAGCCTTAAAGTTTTAAATACCATTCTCTAAGTTTTATCGTTACACAGGCAGCAATCTCTCACAATATCGGAATTCAGCACCTGTTTAGGCTGTCATGTTTGCTAGAAATTTCTAGCCGAAACCGTTGATTGAAAATTTCGCAACATGTTTGCGTGCGTGACCAGCCAGGGTTGTTGTATTTTCTAGAAGCCTTTCAAAGATTTTGCCCTATCAATCGGCAGAAACACTGGAGATTAAGAACTTCTCTCTCACAGCATTTATCCCTAAAAGATTGCTGTCTTGAAATTGATTCACCGTCTATCGGACATCTTGGGTCATCTAGTCTGAAGGAGTTAACTATAACTGTAAAACCATTATTTCATTCAGCACTTATTCCTGGTATATCCAAATTCGACAGAACCAGATGGATTTTCCAATCCGAGGCGGAAAAAGTGTCGGACATAGTCGTTTCATTTACACTCGTAAATTTACACTTTCAGCCGCCAAATAGAAATATAAATAAAGCAGATTTCAATTTTTCTGAAGCGATTTCGTTTCGGTTGGAAAGCAGGAGTGTAAGAGAAATAAGTAGTCCATGATAAACTTAGACCTACCCTAAAAGACGTTCCAGACAATCCCAACAAAATCGATGACCACATGATGTTTGCCAGGGCTTATCGAAAACCTTCTTACAGATCGGGCAATTAAGCCTCTGGTCTACTTTGTTTACGAATTTCATATCAGTATCCACTATAACGTCGATTGTGACGACCATGGTTCAGCCAATGAAATGAGTCAGTGAGCGCCCACAGCTTTCCACTGAATAAATATTCTGTTAGAAGATAAACGCACAAACTTCAGTATAGCTTCTACTCTCCATATACATATGTGTATAATTACAATGAATATGTACCCACTCTATTCCAGAATGAACGTAATTTTACGGAGTTACATGATACACGTACTAACGACGCAGCAAAATTAGGTAATTAAAAAAGGCATGTGTTGTTCATTTACGGGAAGCAACCTTGAATATTGATCAGAAAGTAAAAGATTTGATTGGTCCTTTTTGTTGAATGGTCACATAGGGAAAATAGTCGTCTTACTCCGATTTAGACCTCATTACACTTTAAGTGTCATCATGCAAATTTGCGTAACTCCACTTAATTTGCGTGACATGACCTGTCATTTCATTCTTTCTGCTGCCAAAGACGTCGATGAATAACCCTCCATTTCGAGTTGCGCTACGGAATTCGAGCGAAAAACAGAATTGAAGGCCCCATTAGCCATATTTAAAGCTTAAGATAGCTTAACGAGTCTTAGTGATGTCGAATACCATTCCCGAACGATCGAGCAACAAACTCTCAAGACACCCTTGACGTCGCGAATAAATTGCGTTCAAAGTTTACATGCAAATATTTACAAGCAAATATTTACTTATCACCGCTGGTTCCAGTTCCTTTAAGATAACGCCTCTTCCAAAGTGCAAAACTGCCTCGTTAGAGTTGCTGATGTATGTAAATGTTTCATAACTTACTTTACAACAAATACATAGTTATTCAAACGTTTCTGGCGAAATACTGGTGCAAACAGCATCGATCAGCGCTGCACAAGTGTGTATTTGAGGCACACTCGTCTTTTTCAGAAATACAAGATGAATCTTTTTGATTAAGACTTGCGAACAAAATAAAGAGACCCTCGAGGCCCCTATGCCAACGATAATTTCCCTTTTCGCTAATTCAAATTATAATGGTTCCTTTTTTCAGAAAGTTCAGACTGATGTCGAAATACACATAAACAACATATTCAACGCTTATTTGCGGAAAAGTCAAAGAAATCAGACTCGCATTTCCTTCACGACACGACAAAGTTGTCGCACTTAAGCTAATGCGCAAATGGCCCATTCAAGTCCATGCGTGGCGACTTTTGATAATACGCTGTAGCTGAGTGCCTGCCAGCTAATCGAGGTTTTGAAATGTCACCAACTATGATTCCATGTTCTGCACTCAGCGCAACTGAGCGGGAGATTAAAGATCTCTAAAGGTTCTCATTGTGTATCTTAAACAACATATGTTATATTTTGTTTGGATTGGCCGGGTCCCTTCTTTTCGTCAAACTTATTTAATAATTTAGGATTGCCTGTATTTAGAGTTTCGAAAACTTTGACCACCACAACAAATACATCAATTTAAAGGATGAACATATTAGATTTTTCTCGACCTACCTAATTTTCGGCCGAAGAGACAGTTTCTACAAAAGCGAAGTCCATATGACGTTTTTCATGGATCGTCGAAAATGCTCCCACAGATCGAACGTTTAACCCTCTCATCTAGTCCATCGACTATAACAACCATGGTTTACCTCAGAAACGCCTTTATCCTGCTTTTCTGATAAGAGATTTTTGCTTAGCAATTCACTCGTTCAACAAATGACTTTGCTTGTGTAATCGTTACAAA